AGAGACGATTCGTAAACTAGAAAAATAGTAATGTACAACAAATATATGCGTTAAAGCTTTTAATTAACTCACAAAGCATAACTAACTTGTTTGAAAAGAGCTTAAAGGCAATATATAGTAACTTTATAATAATATTAGATTAAAATATATTACAATACTTGAAGCTTTATTTAAATATGAAGAAACATTCAGTAAGTAACTTTATATTTCGGGATCTTGAAATTAGTAAGTCCAGATTTGAAGTTTTTTAATATTATTATTTTAAGAACGTAATAAAGAACTTGTTTATTTTTTTTTAATAAATAGGTTCTACATCATTCGCTTGTGGTTTATATTTAAGATTGCTTTATTATCAGTTATGTATTACTGAAAATTATAATTATTGTTTGACGTTTGACGTTTGATGAAAAATTTCATTAATTACAATTTTATATGATGATGGGATGTATATTAAAATTTTTCTGTCTAAATTAAAAATCGTAAATTAAAAATCGTATTAAATCGTTTTAGTTTATTTCTACGTAATACGTATTTAATTGTCGTATTCAAAGCTTTTAGTTAGTATGTGTAGTATGTGTACAAAATCCATAATATCGATATCGTTTATTATAAATAAAAATATTGATTGGCCAGTTGGCACATGGTCTGCAAAGTGACGCAATTAGGGTGTCCAGGATTATGCGATGCGATAGCGATAGGGTTTATTATAAATTTGACATAAATTTGACAGGGCGTAGGATCGATTATGTGATGGATGCGAATTATATCGATATAAATTTCCTCGATTATGCGATTTCGTCAAATCACTTATGTACCAATCACAATCCACACATGTGACACGGATGCCGATTATGTGAAGCATCCAAGATATATCCAAGATACGAAAATTTGGTAAATTATGCGCATCTTATGCTTTCGCATAATCCTGGACACCCTAGACGCAATATTCAATTTAAGTGATCAATCAATCACGAGAAAGCTATCCTATATATTTGGGCCGGGTTCGATAAAATACCGGGCCGGGTTCAGGCCATACAGGCCCGATCAATTTTTTGATCGATATACATACTATATAATATATAAGATAATTTTATCATTATAATGTCGAACACATTCAAATACTTGCCCAACATAAAAAAGTGCCAGTTATAATTTAGACTTTAATAATAAATATATATCACAAATATCATGGTGTGTTTCTTCACAAAATCTTGCAATGTGTAAGGACGTGAATGCTGATTCTTTTTACATGCAACTTCGTCACCGGATTTGTGTATTTAATTACGTTTAAATTTGGGCATACGCATAATAATCTCATGTGCGAATGTCTAGTTCTTTTCTAGTCCATTATCGGGGGGAGGTTTTTAAAGAGAAAATTATAATGAAGAGCCTGTTAACAAAGTGACAAAGAAACCGTTTTTGATAATCAGTGTATCTAAAAGTCGTTGTTAAGTAATGAGAAGTTATTTTCCTCTTACTATCGCTTATTTTGCAGTGATTAGGCAGCTAAGATAAGGATTTGTACTTGTTTTAATAGGTTAAATGGTAATAGCAACGTCAAGCTTCGCGGCTGAAGTAGTAATGTAAGGACCTTGCTTAGTGGTAGTTAGGCTCCACGAATGCAAAGACCTTCGTAAAATGGGTTTCGGACTTTGCAGTGCAACAGCAGTGCAAGAACCCTTTGTTGAACGCAGCATTTTATCATTTCATGAATGGCTATATAATCAATTCTCTTTGAAACTACATGGATCTCTCCTCGACGACCTGTTCCCATATGCTTAGACATTGTAGTTTGGTTAGAGATTAAATTTGGTTTTTTTATAGGTGTAGTAGTTTCAATACGTTAAGAGTCGGTTAGTTCGAATAGCATTGTTTTTTAGAGGTGTAATGTTTTAGTTATAGGAGGCAGAGCCTTTAACGATGGTAAATAGATTCCCATGTGTTTTTATTGTTTTAATAAAGCCATTTGTCATCTGATTGAGCGATAATTGGCATTCTTGATAGATTGAATTTAAAATTGAAATCTAGATTCGAGACACCATAGTCCGCACTGTTATGAATTGTAGCACCATCGTCAAAAATACTTTGGTATGCAACGCTTTCAGTAACATTTATTAAAAAAAACTAATTATAAACGGTATAAAGACAGTGCATTACAAAAATTTGCAGACTAGACAATTCGGACGGAATATATCAAGTTGAAAAGGTTAAATTATTACTTGGGAACTGTGGTTAAAATGAATAAGCATAAAGCATTTATATTTTTTAAAAAGGAAATCCAGCATTTAAGTAAAGATTGAGTAGTTAAATTCCGTTCAGCACATCAAGATTTGTCGATGTTTTTCTTTACGGGCCGGGCTAAGGCCTAGTTTAAAATTACAGCTGTTTCCATAATTTCTGAAATACCTGATAAAAAATCTGCCGAATGATTTTTAACTTTTACATTAATTAATTAATGCAGTGGCACATGATTATTGACCTGCATTACAAAATTTTGCCAGCATTAATTACATACGTACGTACGTATCAGAAATTTACACGCAAATTTCCACCCTGTACGTATTTCCCTATATCCCTATATATAAAAGACATATGCATTATATATGATAATTTTCTACGATAATTTTAACATTATAAAATGTTGGCACGTTCAATATTACTAAATTTTCGTTTAAATACTTGCCCAACATGTTTAGTGCTGTAGTGAGTTTAGTCTGTACAAAAACATATATATTTCAAATTATATAAAGTGTAATTTATATGTATATAACGTAATATAAATTGTAATTTATCGATATGTATCGATCATGCCCGAAATCAATAACTTAACCGGATCGGCCAAAAAACCATTCGGCAAATGTTTATTAGCTGTTTCAGAAATTATGAAAAACAGCTGTAAAGTCCGACCCGGCTCATACTTACGAGCTTTTTTTTTTTTTTTAGCGAGCCGGGTTCGGGCTTGCAAATTTTTTTCGGATCTAGTTTCGGGCTCATACAAGCCCGGCCTGACCCGGCCCTTATATATGCGTAACGTAATACAATTAACGTTGTACGTACGTACGTCGTACGAACGTACATACATATGTATAAATACTTCAAATATTTGGAGCAAAAAAGTCAAAAGCCACCTTTTCTCATGGCATCAAAAATATTTACGGGCGATATGCCCGAATTGATGGAAAACATTCTCAATAATTTGAATAAAGAAATTTGTTCCTTATACTCATGTGCTCTAGTGAGTCGACATTGGTGCAAGATATCAATTCCTATTCTTTGGCGAGATCCATTTTCGTTTGATGAAAAAGCTACCTTCATATCTAACTACTTTTCGTCCCTTGACGAGGAAGAAAAATTGATTTTAAAAGAATATGGAATAATCCTCGATTTTCCTAATACCCTGTTTCATTACGCTAGTTTTTTAAAGGTTCTCGATTTATTTAGTTTAGAGGAAAAGGTTAAACAATGGATTAGTTTACAATTTTCACATCTACAAAGAAATGTCGAAATACTGAAAGACATTGTTAATTTACTATTTAAATCATTTGTTGAGAGCGGTGCAAATTTATCAAAGTTAGAATTCTATGTTTCTAAATTCAATATTAAACCTGAAGTATTTTATTCTTTGGGTCAAAATTTGCAATTTTTCTCAAGACTCCAAGATATCGTTATATCAACTGAAGAATCCGGTTCGGATTTATCCGTCATCGATGAAGATATTACTTTATTAAAGATTTTGGCAAAAAAAGCTACAAAAATCAATACCTTGAGATTCGATTCGTTTGATTATATGTGTAGACCACGATTATGCTCTGCATTGGTGAACATTATTAAGTCACAAGAACGCCTTAAACGTTTCAGCTTGAGCTGTGAAGAAGGATTACAAACGGAATTACATGGTGTTGTTTCCGCTCTAAAAAGTCAGAGAGAATCTTTACGAGAAATTAGTATACATAATTGTGCTTATAGTACTGAATTTGAAGTACTTATGAATTGTGAAAAATTAGAGATATTTCGTATATTATATTGTGAAGAGGAGGAGAAGCTATTGAAAATATTAAATACTGATTTTTGTAAAATCAGTACTTTAGACATAAGCTCATACCCGATTGATGCCTCGGTTATAATACAAATCTTGAAAAAGTCCGGCTCATTATTACAACGATTAAAACTTGACTCGGAGGATCAAGAAATTTGTTCTCAATCATTATTAATAGAAACGCTTATGGCTTCCTGTCCAAATCTTACGTATCTTTACATTTCATATATTGAACTTTCAACTCAACTTATAAAACTTATTAGCAACTTACAAAAACTTCAATTCCTCACCTTATTGTGGATAGATGATGGTTCGGAAGAAATAGCAAAGGCTCATGTTATACATTTGGCTAAAATATTGCCATTAACATTGGTATATCTTGATTGGGGGAACGTTAGGTCTAATTCGTACATAGACATTTTACTCGATCATTGTGATGTACCTTTAAAAAAACTATTGTTCAGTATTGATTGTGGTTATGAGAAAACAATCAAGGCGTTAATAGGATTTTGTGTACGAAAAAGGACATTAAATTATGTAAATGTATTCAAATATGTATATGGCTTTAGATATGTTAGTGGATATCATATATCTACTACGGTTTGGAATAATCTTAAAAAAGATTTAGAAGGATATGCTGAGTTGGTGCCATATAAACATATTGTTGTTGATTGCTAAATAAAATAAAATTCGATTTAATCTTTATAAAATTTTTCTTCTATAATAAACTTTTTAAACGAATTGTTACCTAACCTTAAATGTCACGATGCTTAATAAATTAATAAATTTAATAAATTTAGTAATTGTAATCAAATCAATGTGTGATACGTATTAATTATATAAAACGAATATGGTAAGGATGATCAATCTACAACTATAAAACTAGAATAACTAAAACTAATTCATTATATACTTTAAATAATGAAATCTCTATGATATAACGATAAATTTCCGTACGCTCAATATGGAAACGATTAATACTAAACAAGACGATAAGGATGATAGTCAAGACGGAGCATTGGTATTATGGAAATATAATAATCCATTCTCAAATTATAAGCGGGATCCTGAGAGAATTTTTGCTTTTAATGGATTTACCCGTACATAATCAAAATCTTTGCATTCCATGAACGTTTAAATTATCAATGCTATTAATAAACTTGCAACTATTCTTTTTTCTTTTAATATGGAAAAGTCAAGATATCGCAAAGATTATCTGATCCAATTGATATTACGCAAAATACTGGGAATATAGTTTGGGATGGGGTGATTATTATACTGTTTAATTCTCGCTCATCAATTTCTTGTTTACACTCAGGTTTCTTCGTGATCGTTCTTATTATACATCTTCCATTTTATTTAAAGGCATATATATTAAGTAAATACATAGTAGACCATCTAAATCTTGATTATTTAGCCGACACTAACCGTCGAAGAAAAATCAGATTTATAGAATTAGGATCAGGATGTGGTCTTGTTGGATTAGTTGCTTGGCTCACTGGTTGGTATCATGTCCTCTCTTTGTGTCTTATTTCTTTTTCACAACACGTTAAATTTTTTTTTTATATGATAGGTGGGTATGTAGTTTGTACAGGTACACTCAATGATATCGAGCACACAAAGTTCAATATTAAACAGAATGTTGAATATGTTATGAGCCAGCAACAAAATCAATTTGAGTACGACAGAGGTAAAGGTGGTTTAGATTTATTAGATAAAGATAATATACAAGCTCACGTTCTAGATTGGTATGTCTTGAACTCTTGCGATATTCGAACTATCTTTGTCATTATTAATATTTATACCTAAATAGGAGATCACTACCAACCACTGAAGATACTACAAACCCACTTCACAAATCAAATATTCAACCATTTGACATAATTCTAGCATCAGAAATATTATATTTACCAGATTTACACAAAGATTTGGTCAAAACTATTCGTTATTTTAGTCATTCAAAACCTATAAATGATCAGGAAGCTAGTTCCGAAACAGAAATGAAATCGGAAAACGATATGAAATGTGAGACGCGAGTTTTGGGAATCTATAAACAACGTGGATTAGGTGAAGAACAGTTTTTCAAAATTGCACAAATTTTTGGAAAGCTTAGAGTTGAATGGGTAATAGTTTGCTTTAACAAACTACTACATCATCATCATACAGAACTTTAACATGATTATAATCTTTTCTGAATAGATTGATACCAGTTGGATCTATCAACCTTCTATTGGATCGCATGTAAATCAATTGCAGTCAACAATCTCGCCCACTTACGATGCGTATAAAATGTTTTGGTTGATCCCTGATTCTTGATTCTTGATCAGTGCATACGTACGTTATTATTCTCGATCAATGAAACTTTGTCAAATTTTATTTCGTAGAAATATATGCAGGGATATGTCTCATTGAATGTGTTCAGCTGATATCATATCTGTTATGAGTACATTCTTGTTGACTATATATGACGTAAGCTAATATTTCATAAGATATTCACTCTTATTTATTAAATTTGTATCGAATGGTATAATACAGTACTACCCAAACAAATGGCAGTAAATAGATGAATGCCAAGTAATGACACCAAGGCTGTATAGCAGTGCAAGGACTTTGTTTAGAGTTGGTGATATACAGGAAATAAGACATAACTTGGAAGTTAACGTGAAAACCACTTGATCAATGGAATGGTGTCATGTTATGTACAGTCGCCTCTGAAAGTAACGCCCGATAATTTTCGAACACTTAATTCGTGATTCGCTTGAGAACCAATGATCAATCATAGTAAATTTTGAAAAGTCTTACTATATAATTTTGCCTTTTTGAAATATGATGTTTTTCTAAAGAAAAAACCTTTTTTATTAGCCTTTGTACAAAATTAGAATTGTATATACTTTTGTATTTAGAAATTACTATTAAAAAACAACAAACATAATATTATACATATGTAATGTAGTGTTCCCATCCATTATTTATTTATCCAATTATCTATCCATTTATCCATTCGATATCCGTAATTCGTTATCCGAAATATCCTATCCAAATTCGACGGAAATCCGTTTACTATTGATGTTCGAATAATTATTCGAATATCTGTCGGATTATCCGGATATTCATCCGATATGGATTACTCAGATACGAATAAATGGATGACGGATTTATCCGGATTAGAACTCTCATATGGGCTGTTTTCTGGAATTTAGATTAGAGCTAGTTTTTTTTTAAAACTTTAAGATTAAATAACTCTTAATCTAGAAGTTTTTTAAAAAAATAATTATATTATCATTGTGTTCGTCTCTTTTAAGACGATTCTAATGAGCCCAAAATCATTCTAATCCAATCACAGGATCACGAGATGTTATGTTGTCAAATAACGCACCTTATAGGTGGGAGGCTCAGAAACAGTTTAGTGTGTACAGGCACCGTTAAAAATCCGCCGATGATAATCCGTGCGACAAACAACGATATCACGCCTTAACGAAATGATTACGTATCAGAATAAGATTACCAAATCAGGGCATATTATACCTTATCTACAATCATTAATTAACGATCATCCAAACATTTACGTTATTAGTCATTTATTATTATTCACAATCTGTATTACCTTATTATCAATTATTAGTCATAGCTTATTAGTAGTCATAGCTTTCTCGAATGTATAAATACCACTAGTTTTTACCTT